GGAAAACAGACCGGCTTGCTGAAAAACAAGCCTGCCATAGAGCCGCTGTTGGCTTTGCTGTGTGAGCAGAGTCCTCTAGTGGAGGCAGGCCGTAGTCCAGCAGAGATCGCTGGCAAAGCTGCAAAACCTCCAAACGATACCTTAAGCCAACAGAAGCACTTTTCTGTTGGCATAACCGTGTCTCTGCCGGGCTTTTGCCAACAGCTGTGTCAACTAAAGGTTGTGCCTGTTCCACGCTCCTTGCCGAGGCCCTTGTGCCAGCAGACCTTTTAGCACAGACCAAATTCTGCTCTCGCTCAATAATAGAAATGATGTGTTTGTGTGAGGGGCCGGGCGTGTACTAGCTCAGGTACTCTTTACCCCCTCACGTAGTACATTCGAGTGCTGTGCCACCGCTGCCTCGCTTTTCCTGACGTGTGATGCCTGAATATCGTGGGTTGCTGTTTTTCTCTTGCAGAACTGTGATGAGAGGTTTCAGTACAAGTACCAGCTGCGTTCCCACATGAGCATCCACATTGGGCACAAGCAGTTCATGTGCCAGTGGTGTGGCAAAGACTTCAACATGAAACAGTACTTTGATGAGCACATGAAAACACACACTGGTAAGAACTTCTCAAAGAAAAGCACAAGGACAAAAACATTATAGCTGTATTCCCTTCCTAATTTGGGATCAAAACTGTTACCTGAACAAGAAAATCAGACAGGAGAGGTTAATACATTACTTTACTGTTAAATCTAACTGTCTGTAGTCTCGTGAGTCACCATGGGGGAAAATGAGAGCTTAGGCTTGCTTCCTTGTTATTTTAATCTGGAGGAACCCCTTGCCAAAGCCTTATAGAAGATTGTCCAAAGGTGAGAGAGGATTTCGTGAAGACTGAGGGCTTCTGTGGAACAGCTGTCTCTGCTGAAGTAGCAGGCACAGTAGCTTTTGCAGGATGCAGTTTGTTTGTGCGAGTATGCTGAAGTGAGTATTTGCAGACGTTCTGTGCCTAACCGATTGCTGTATCTGTGTTGGGCAGGAGAGAAGCCCTTTATCTGTGAAATCTGTGGGAAGAGCTTCACCAGCCGCCCAAACATGAAGAGACATCGCAGAACTCACACAGGGGAGAAGCCCTACCCATGTGATGTGTGTGGCCAGCGATTTCGCTTCTCCAACATGCTCAAGGCCCACAAGGAGAAGTGCTTCCGCGTTACCAGCCCCGTCAACGTGTCAACTGCTGTCCAGATCCCACTGTCCACGACTTCTCCCGCCACCACAGTCCCTGCTGTAGTGAACACACCCACCACCCCAACTCCACCTATCAACCTGAACCCAGTGAGCACACTTCCTCCACGCCCCATTCCCCACCCTTACTCACACCTTCACCTACATCCTCACCCTCACCATCCACATCATCTCCCGGTCCCCCCGGTTCCCCATTTACCCCCTCCTCCAGCTCTTTTTAAGAGTGAGCCTTTAAATCACAGAGGCCAGAGTGAGGACAACTTTCTGCGACACCTGGCAGAAAAAAACAGTTCAGCGCAGCACCACTAACATCTTTCCTTCCTGCCAGCTGTTTTCCCGTTTTCTGCACATGGAACCATGCCCTCGTGGAAGTACGGAGGGTTAGTTGGTGAGGATCTTTGTCTTTCTCTTAGCCCCGGCAGACGGTCCTAATTTTTCCCTCGAATCAGTTAACAAACAAGAAAATCCTGTTTTGGATCAGCAGTGCTCATTTGAACCTGGGAACCGACAGGACTTCAACCCGATTTGCTTGCGTTTTACTGGTGACTTTTATAAATTTCAGATACTGAGACTTGTGGAATTTTATAATTTCATATCAGCTGATGAGGTATGCTTGCTTTTATATCCTGGCCTTCTCCTCAAAGAGGAGCTAGGCCTGGTTTTCTTTGTACTAATCGGAAAGGCTGTGAGATTAATACAGAGCATTAATTGTATCACTGTGTATCGTAATGGATTCTTTTGAGCTTTTGGTGCCGGCTACGGAGTGAGCCAGCCACGTATCACAGTATATTTGAGCATTATAAAGAAAGACAAAAAAATTTCTTGTTTGTGTAGCTCTCCTAACACACTCTTTATTTTACTACAGAAATTATTTTAGAGTTTTTTGTATAGACCTATTTAGTAGTCTGTTTCTAAAATGAAATGTATTTCAATAAGCGGTGTAATTTTTTCAGTGTAGCTGGACCTATGTTGTATAATAGATAAATTTTTATAATCATCAAAATGTGATTCTTAAAAGATGCATATAGCTTCTATAGTTAAAGTTATTCTTACAACCATACAACTTAAAAGGTGCTTCAGAGAAGAAAGGAACCCAAGAGGTCTCTGGAAAGGTTGCCTCAAAAGTGATGTTGATTTCGGAACTTTACGTAATTTATTTTAGTAGGGCTTTTTTTTTTTTTTTTTTTTTTTGGATATAACCTTATGTTTCCCTTCTCCCAGTTCCCCTTAAGCTTTTT